TGTTAATGATGGACTTTTAGATTGCAATTTGAACTTTGAGCTAAATGTAACAATAATTGGAGTGTGGTCAGAAGATAAGTCAAGACTTGATTCAGCTTTTAATTGTTCATCTAATATACCCTTGAATATACAGAAGTCTAGAAGGTCTGGAATTTTAGAAGTGTCTCCAGGCCAATAAGTTGGTTCACCTGTTGATAAGTGTTTAAGTCTGCAGTTAACCATGGATTTATAAAGTTGCTTACCTCTTGGATTGCTTAATCTCGAACCCCATGAACAATGTTTAGCGTTATAATCTCCTCCAGCTAAAAATATTGGTCCCAAAGAAGTAAAGAATTCACTAAATTTTTCATGAGAAATGTTATGTCTTGGTGGACAGTATAATGCACTTACAGATAAAGCTCCAATTGAAGTTTCAATCACTACATTAGTTGCTTGTAAAAAATGTTCCGCATAAGACTGAGCCATATAGTGTTTAATTGTTGATTTTATAAGCACAGCACTACCGCCGTGGGACAACATGACACTAATTTTATACATATTAAGATATTGATACATATATGTTTATTTTCCTAACAATAAATCCAATAAATAAAAAACAACTTGTTTTTTGTGAATGTTTATTTACGACGTTTCGGAACTAGATACGTTCCATCATCCGGTTTCTTCTGTCAAAAACACTTTTTATATGGGAATAAACACATTAATATTACAGGCGTGGGATTCGAACCCGATCAGTTTTGACTTTCTTAAATGCAAATACAAAATGGCCGCTAGCTTCGAAACCGCTAACCCTGCCTTCCCAAAAATTTAATCAGTTCTTCATCTTGTCGATACAAGTACTTTGAGTTATTAAAATCGGGCGCTCCGTTCGCTTAAAAATTGAGTTTTTGCCGTTTTTGGCACTTTTTGTCCCGTATTTTCGCAATGGCTAGACCTGCCATCGCCAAAAACTAATCAGCACGTCTCCATATCAATTCGAATCGAATGTTCTTTGAGTTATTCAAATCGGTTGATCGGTGTTCCCGAAATCGTCGACGAAGATTTGTATCCACACACACTCACGCACACACACATACATCCATTTTTTCTAAAGTATGCCAAAATATTCAGAACCCTTTGACATGTGAAGATATATAACAATGTTTATTTTCCGCTTTTTTGCGATTACTATAACTGCCCTACGAAAGAATTTTTTTTTAATTATAGAAAATAAAAAATAAAATTAAGTAGCAAAAATTATTTACCTGCAATATTGATCTATCTATCCATAACACTAATTTTTTGTTTAAAACACTGGGAAAAAATTTTTTTAGAATATTTGTAAAATTTGACTTCACACGGCTAAGTTAATGTCTGTAATGGACTTCTGTTACACAGATGTGTCTAAGGTCAAAACGCGAATATTGTTTTGTGGTCCTTGCATTGACAATTTACGAAAAAAGGGAATTATTTTTTAATTTGAAAAAGTATAAATATTTTGTTGTTTTAGACAAAACGGAGAATTATTTTCATATACATATACATATACACACATATGCATGTACATATGTGTACATACATACATGTATACAAACACTTATATGCATTATAGTGTTAGAAGTATCGAGGCAAAGTATCGATACCGAGTACTGAAAAAAGAATCGAGGCAAAGTATCGATTCCGAAAAAGTATCGTGGCAAAAGTATCGATACTACTCAGTATCGAATATCGAGTACTTTTCACCAAAATCAAACATAAGTGCAAAATATATCTAAAACTCTCTACATATCGAATTTCAATATTATGATAAATTCTATTGCCTGTATTTCATGCCGTTAAATCAGCATCATTTTCAACATTTGGAAAAGTTTAAAACAATAAATTTTCGATACTAATTTCAAATTCGATTTATGTGAAAAAGAAAAATACTCATTATTTAAAAAATAGTATCGTTTTGTGACGAAAGTATTCATTTATTTTTTCAAAAAAAAAAAAATCAGTAATTCTAAAATAGTATCGTTTTGTGACGAAAGTATTCATTTATGAAATTAGTGTCGGCTAATTTATATCAAAAAGAAAAATACTCAATAATTAAAAAATAGTATCGTTTTGTGACGAAAGTATTCATTTATAATAATAGTGTCGGCTAATTTATTTCAAAAAGAAAAATACTCATTAATTAAACAATAGTATCGTTTTGTGACGAAGGTATTCATTTATAATAATAATGTTGGCTAATTTACTTCAAAAAGAAAAATACTCATTAATTAAACAATAGTATCGTTTTGTGACGAAAGTATTCATTTATAATAATAGTCTCGGCTAATTTATTTCAAAAAGAAAAATACTCAATAATTAAAAAATAGTATTGTTTGTGACGAAAATATTCATATATGGATTTAGTATCGGCTAATTTATTTCAAAAAGAAAAATACTCATTAATTAAACAATAGTATCGTTTTATGACGAAAGTATTCATTTATAATAATAGTGTCGGCTAATTTATTTCAAGAAAAATACTCATTAATTAAAAAATAGTATCGTTTTGTGACGAAAGTATTTATTTGTGAATTTAGTATCGGCTAATTTATATCAAAAAGAAAAATACTCAATAATTAAAAAATAGTATTGTTTTGTGACGAAAGTATTCATATATAGATTTAGTATCGGCTAATTTATTTCAAAAAGAAAAATACTCACTAATTAAACAATAGTATCGTTTTGTGACGAAAGTATTCATTTATAATAATAGTGTCGGCTAATTTATTTCAAGAAAAATACTCATTCATTAAAAAATAGTATCGTTTTGTGACGAAAGTATTTATTTATGAATTTAGTATCGGCTAATTTATATCAAAAAGAAAAATACTCAATAATTAAAAAATAGTATTGTTTTGTGGCGAAAGTATTCATTTATGGATTTAGTATCGGCTAATTTATTTCAAAAAGAAAAATACTCATTAATTAAACAATAGTATCGTTTTGTGACGAAAGTATTCATTTATAATAATAGTGTTGGCTAATTTATTTCAAAAAGAAAAATACTCGATAATTAAAAAATAGTCTAATCTTTCGAAGTATTCAACCTATGTAAACTAGGCTTTTATTCAATCGCGTTAGTTATAATACTGATTAAGAATGATATTAGAAATAATTGTGTTAAGAAATCTTTAGAATTATTTTACTATTATCCTATTACATATAATAGTTGTATGTGCACAGATGCACTGGACGCTTTTGCATATTATGTTCTTCTTACAATAGATTAGGTACAATGACCATCCTTTTAACCCGAAAGTAAACAGCTTATTGTAAAAATTGGAGACATGATCAATTGTTAATTGTACCTTCAGACACAGGTTGGAAAAACCTATATATTTTTATTATATTTAATAATAAAATGATTAGGAAATAATTAATTGATTTCAATGGAATGTAAAAGCAAAAATTAGTTATAAGTTTAGATCGCGACGATATGATTTGTCGATGCCGCGGCATCCGCGTCGAACAATGAAAAAACAAAGCTGCTGCCGCTACAATCGTAAGTCTTACTTATTTTAGAAATAAGTATCGGCTTTCGAAATTAATATCGCAAATATAATAATTTCAATAGAAATACTCATTAACCATAAGTTAGTATTTATTAATAATAAAATAATTTCTATGGAAATACTTAACGATTATAAAGTAGTATTATTTTAGAAAAAAAGGTATCGGCTTTAAAAATTAGAATCGGAAATATAATAATTTTAATGGAAATACTAAACGATTATAAAGTATTTATTCTAGAAAAAAAAAGTATCGGATTTAGAAATTAGAATCGGAAAGAAAATAAATTTTAATGAAAATACTTAACGATTATAAAGTAGTATTTATTTTCGAAAAAAAAGTATCGGCTTTAAAAAATTAGAATCGGAAATCGAATGTCTTAATAAATTATTTAACCAAAGTTGGTTGCGAGACAATTTCGTAGATAACAAGATTTTTGCATACAATATATACAAAATTTATTATCGTTGATAAACATATGCTCTCGGGGGTAACAGAAATTATATTATCGACGTACGTAATCTTAAACTCTAATTCTTTTAATTATTGTTAATCATTGGCTCCGAACTGGGGGCATTCATATACATTTTCTTTAACAAAAACCACATCGCACTCGACTTATCGCTTGTTTCGTTTGTTATCTGTGAAGAGCGACAAAAGAGAATGAGTGGTGTTCATAAAATGCGGTCGAACTTTTGGTGAGGTCAAAAAATATAGCCGATACTTTTTTAGTAGAATCGGCGCAAAGTATCGATACCGCCAAAAGAATCGGCCTGAAGTATCGATTCCAAAAGTACTCAGTGTCGAAGTCAAAGTATCGATTCTTACTCAGTATCGATACTATCGTTCTAACGCCATATGCATATACATATACACATACCTATATTTTAACTATATGCACACACAATACACTACATATATATGTATGCATATACATGAAATCATTTTAAATATTAATCGTTTTTAATTAGATTTAAAAAAATTATATTGCATTTTTGATAGTTCTGCTATAACAAACTCTTTTATAGTATTTATTATATTTTCAGTTCACATATTATTTTGAGGACTTGCTATATTAATATTCAATTTGTCTCATCATTTGGCCGAGAAAGCATTGGATATGTGCGAGAGTGAATAGTTTTTTTTTTTAAAGCGAATCTTAATAATTGTTTGCTAACGTTAAAATAATTTTTAATTTTGTATTTTCTGGTAGCAAGCTTATAACTAGTTTTTGATTAGCATTATTTGAAATAATATAATTTTTTATTTTACATAATATTGTCCAAATCTATCAAAGTATAAAGTTATACGTATACCTGAGGTATATATGGTTTTCTATGTATAAAGTTATACCAATTTTAAATTACAAGGTTAGGTCAATTCTGTGTGCCAAGGCGCTCATATCCTATGTTTTTATAAAATTCGTGATTTTCTTTAAACTTTTCTACTACTCATTCTGTCCCATTTAACAGGCAACAAATATTAATCATGGAGATAGCGGATCTGCAGCATTGGTTACGAAATCAGAGAGCAGTTCTTCACGTAGTCATGTAGAAACTGTGAGTGAGCGACCGCACACGATTTCAGCAGGTTCGTTCATTTATTGTCTCACTTACATTGCTTGATACGCAGGAATAGACTGTGTATACTGAATATATATATATATATATATATATATATATTATAAAATTTTATGATATGAGTGGAACGAATATTAAATGTTTATTATGAACAAAACAGCACTCAGATTTTTTTAACACAACTTTATTTTATGATTACAAACGTTTCGAGACCAAGGTGTGCCTCATCTTCAGTGTAATTTTCAATAACAGTTACTTATTACTAAACACTCTTTAATATTTTATTTAAAAACTATATTTTGACTTTTGAATATAAAACACCAACTATTCCTTGCATTGGCAAGTGACAATTGTTTCAATCAAAGCTTGACACGGTACTAACTTCGGACTAACAATAGCATAAGTCTGAGAACCGCCACAAATATTTTACATGACACTTATATAAACACTTATATAAATAAGTTATAATTTTTTTATTTAGCTTATTCTTTTCAATAAATTAATCTGTTTTTTCATATTTTTCGAATTTTGTATGCGAGCGCTTTCCTATTGTTTACATTTTAGTGTTACCCATCCTGTCTCCGTTAGATACTTCAGATTTGTTTCGAATAATTCTGTAAATGTCACATGTCAGTTATTACCGTGTCAAGCTTTGATTGAAACAATTGTCACTTGACAATGCAAGGAATAGTTGGTGTTTTATATTCAAAAGTCAAAATATAGTTTTTAAATAAAATATTAAATAATGTTTAGTAATAAGTAACTGTTATTGAAAATTACACTGAAGATGAGGCACACCTTGGTCTCGAACCGTTTGTAATCATAAAATAAAGTTGTGTTAAAAAAATCTGAGTGCTGTTTTGTTCATAATAAACATTTAATATATATATATATATATATATATATATATATACATATATATATATATATATATATATATATATATATCTAGATAGTTTTTTCGACGTTGAAACATATTTCAAAGTAACTAGCAGCCCATTCGTCGAAATAAAAAAGGTATAAAGTATAAAAACTTTTATTTATACGTTTCGACACAAGATGCGTGTCATCATTCAGCAACTACAACAATTTGAAAATTTTATTAACTAATATAAACAACAATATAGATTAATTATAGCATAGAGAAACATTATACACACCACAGGACAAAAACACTCAACAAAAATTTATTTTCAAAAATTAAACTTAATAACATATTAGAGAAAAACATTTTTTTAGAAAAAATTATGAATAACTAAAAGATTTGAAAACTAATTTGACTAAAAGTTATGAAATGCATAATTGTGAAGCGAGAAACACGCCCATACCGAGCATCCAGACTCGACTGAATTATTTCAATAGGCGTATTGATAGGAATGGGAGGGGACGCATCAAGGACAAATTCTCGAGGCACGAAAACGAATCGAACACAGTGCTTGAACTGGAATTGATCAAAAGGAAAAAGCAAACCAATGTAAAAGTTAGAACAAGAAAAAACAATATTGTAAAAAATAATATAAAAGAGATAAGCAAATTATTTTTTTGTTTTTTTAATAAAATCAATAACAATCTGGTAACTATCATGTAAAAGGTGGGATGAATTGCGTTTATTAACACAAGAGGAGGAATTTAATGAAATAAAAAAGGATTCAGCAAATTTTCTAAGGTCAATATTTTTTTCGATATAAAGAATAACCGGATGTGAAGTGTTAAAAGTGTGATTGAGATTGAGCATATGATCTGAAAACATCGTTTTGAATTAGTTTGGATTTTTTGAATTATAAATATGTTGATTAACTATCTTATAAATATACTGGGAACTTTCTCCAATATAACACATGTTGCAATCATTGCAATCCAACCTGTAAACAGAATCGGTGACCCTATCAGACGGGGTTCCAGACTTAAGAACCGAAAAAAGGCAATTAAACGTATTATCAAAACTAAAAACTAATCGGAATCCTTCTGAAGAAAATAACTTTTTTAAAAAATATGAAAAATTGCTTAAAAAAGGTAAACAGATAGTTCCTTTGTATTGGGCGGAAGAGGAAGCTATTGAATTTGAACAAGAAGGTGAAAATGAATTATTAGAATTAGTTTGTAAATAAATTAATCTATTATTAATGATGTTGTTGACCAAGTGCGAAGGGTAACTATTGTCTTTGAAAACGGAACGAATAAGAGTCAAATTTTTTTCCCAAAACATACTGTTACTTAGTAAAATAGCCCTGTCTATAAGAGAGATAATGACAGAAATTTTAATGGAACGCGAATGAAAAGACAAATAATTTAAATATCTTCCTGACCACGTTGGTTTCTGTTAAAGTTACTTTAACTAACGACCCCACCGATCATTTAAACAGACAAACGCACAAACTCATTGGCAATTTAATTACAAAAAAACAAATCTCCAAATCATTAGGTTTTTCTTTAAAAGTTTTTCATCCCAGTTTTCCCAAGTTGTATTGTCTTCCTAAAATTCACAAACCTAATTTACCTCTCAGACCTATAGTTTCCGATTTGAATTCTCCCTTAAGTAAACTCTCCAAACATATCAGCTCCATTCTCTCTAAGGTTACTGTTTTATCTAAATTTAATGTTTCCAATTCTTTTGATTTAGTAAAAAATTTAAAGAATTTTACAATTCCTTCCAATTCTTCCTTTGTTAGTTTTGATGTCATCTCCCTTTTCACGAACATTCCTTGGGATTTGGCTTTAGAAGCTGTTTCTGCCCGCTGGAATGATATCCAACCACACACTTCGATTGACTTGGTTTGGTTTAAGACGATTTTAAATTTCATTTTTGTTAACACTTACTTTTGTTTTGATGATCAATTTTATTCGCAGATTTTTGGTTTACCCATGGGGTCTAGTATTAGCCCCCCTGTGGCTGATTTAACACTACAAATTTTAGAAAATTTTGTTTTATCTAATCTTTCTGTTCCACCTCACCTTTATTATAGATATGTTGATGACGTTTTGTTATGCCTTGACGATTCTCAGATTGTAGACACATTAGACTCTTTTAATTCTTCTAACAAACATTTGCAGTTCACCTGTGAGATTGAGTCGGATAACTTTATTAGTTTTTTAGACCTAAGAATTACTAAAAATAAAGTAAACAATTCTGTCCTGACTGATTGGTATCAGAAACCAACGTGGTCAGGAAGATATTTAAATTATTTGTCTTTTCTGCTAGTTACTTTGAAATATATATATATATATATATATATATATATATATATATATGTGAGTTTGGTGTTGATATATATTTTGATGAGTTATTTGTAATCGGGCAGTAACACTAAGTAAAAAAAAAAACTAAAGTAGTTTTGAAATACTTTATTTATCCATACGTTTCGGTCTTCATCGAGACCGTCATTCAGTGGAAAAACTAAAAGATTTTATATGATGTAGGAGGAAAATAATATAAAGTTATAGAACTTATATATAAGTATGTACTTACAGAATTAATTATACAAAAATACACTACACTATTTCACTATGATAAACCAAGCTATTAATAACTGAAACATTTAAACTATTTTTTTTTTTTTTGACAATTTTTTGGTTACATTGTAGTGTGTACAAGTTGGTTAACACTAAATACTGAATGAATTGTGTTTACAAATTTTGCGAAAGTGTAAAAAGACCGGCAAACATATGTTTTTTGTAAAATAATAAAATAATAAAAATACACGCTTCATTCAGATATAGTGGTGTTTTTGAAATGGTCTAGGATTATTTTATAGTCATTGCAAAGCGAATTGTTGTCAGTTCTTAAATTTATGGCCCTATCCTTGTGTAAAGATATTAGACATCCTTCGCTAAATCGTCTTTTAAATAAATTATTTTCGAAATGTAAAATCGTGGGATTGGAAAAATCAATGTTATGTTTGAGCTGATTAATATGATCCGTTAGTTGTGTTTTATTCTGGTTTTTATTTTTCGAGTTGCTTTTGTGTTGTGATGTTCTTTTGTGAAAATTCTGACTGGTTTCACTTATGTAGACGCAATTACAATCTAGGCCAGTGGCGTAAGTAGATCCCCCGGGGCCCGTGGCAAAATTTTCCGATGGGGCCCTATCGTGGTATTCAATTTTTAATTTATCTAATTTTGTTTAATAAACGTGTAAAGTCATTTACACGCTGTTACTATTGGCTAAAACAATTTTTAATGAATTTTATCACAAATTAGCAAACCAACTTTGACTATTTTAATTTTATGGCTTTAAATTAAATTGAATGCAATTATACAAATGGTAGAAATGTAAAGTATTGACTTATGGGTATAATTGTTTCATAATTTAATTATGATTATATAAAAATAACAAAAAATACATAAAACTTAATTTTTCTTGAGAATCAAACATGAAATATTGGTTTATATTTTTAACGTTAGAATAAATGAAATTAAACTAAAACGTATTTTTTAATAGAAATTAATCTTTCACTTTCTTAAATTTAATTATTACATAACCTTCCATTAACAATTTCTTTTTTTACTGTAATTAATTTTATTGATTGAGTAGTAACGTTCAATCTTTATAAAAATTCATGTTTTCATCAATACCACTTATTGAAAATTTTTGGACAATTTTTTTAACGAAGATGAAGACATTTATCTAGCTTCTGCTCGAAAAAACAATAGCGTGAACCCTGCATATATTCAAAATATAATAAAAATAAAATGTTAACTTCAATAAGCTATTAAGTAAATACAATCTTTTCTTACTGCTTTCAGTTGCGTAAAAGTGTCTATTCCTAAGCATTTTCTATTCCGCCTCTGAAAATTGATCGAAATTTAAATTTCCCTGGAAAAAGTGGCAAATGATTCAGAATCTGAACAAAATTTTTTTATGGCACTGTTCTATTAAATAATGGTTTTAAAATTTGTTTAGATAAAAAAAAAACATATCTGAATTTCTGATATGTCTGTTTTATCTGAACAAATAGAGCTCTTATTTAATAGATCAGTATCATTGAAAACTTCTATTGTAGGAAAATACTG